GACACCAGCTAGAAGTTGGAGATGTGGGACGTTAGCTTAGCAACAAGGTCAGGACTGAAGATATAAATCTGGTAGACATATGTATAGAGATGATAGTTTAAATCATGACAGCTGTTGGCATTTTCAAGTGAAAGACTGTAGACAGAAAAGTAGAAAGGTTCAAGGACCCTATTCCTCGCTTTAGGGGTATGAAAAGAAAGTGAAAAAAATAAAACTAAGAAAAGACAAAGAAGTAGGAAAAAAGCAATAAAATCTAGTGCTTTATCAAGGAAATCAAGAGAAGAGAGGCTGTGGCAGACTGACCAAATTAAACTAGGTTAGTTCATTTTCAGATTTGGGAATGATTTATATTACATTTAATTACTAATAACATTTAGAATATTTTACTCTATATCCTAAAGCCAAATTTACTTTGATGCCTGGGAAATAAATTTTTTTCTAATTAGTAAGAATTAATTGAAGTTTTCTTAGACTATGAACGTTCTACAGTAAGCAAAGTGAAATAAAAAAATATGAATCCAATCTATTGTTCTCTTGATATTTGTTAAATTTATTCTTAATTATCTGAGGTATTCTTTGAGTATTAGTATTTATATAGATATTTGTATTACTTCTCAAAGAACAGTATTCATTCAAATAAAACACGATTACAATGACATTCTCTCCATACCACCTTTTTACATACGCAGTCACAAAATCAAATTTTGATACAAATATCAATTTCATTGGGCAAAAAGTATCCAAATGTCAGATGCCTCTTTAAATGAATAATTCATTTTGTTATAGAAGGAATAAAACTGAGATTCGTGCAATAGTACATCATTCCACCTAGCACCTGTGTCTAGCTTTAAGAATTTGTTCCCTATTGCCTACAGTGTGTGACAGGTTTTATCTTATTCTTGTCTCTTACATTCACAAGAGTGCAATTGTATTCCCCAAAGCCTACACAGGCCATTTCTTACTTTTTTTAATATGTAACAAAATTTTTAAATGACAATTTATATCTAGATCTCAGAAGCAGTATCAAAATTATTAAACCGAGACAGCTTCTAAGAATTCGCTTTTAAGTGTGTTCGTTCAGAAACATGTGTATCACTAGACATAATTAATTGCTTTGGGCTCTGTTTAACTAGATATGTTTTCGATAATATAATGAAACTTGAAAGATACTTGCTTGCATCCGTAGTCTCAAAGGGTTAACTCAAAACAAACTGGGTTATTTTAACTGTAAAATAACCCCTTGGTTACTCCTTCATGTCCTATAAGTTTATTGTTTTATTTTTAAACATAGGTACCTCATTCACTAAGGGTGCTCCATAAACTATAAATAAGCTTTCTCAAAAATTTGAGAAATTGAGATCTCAAAACAGTCATATAAAGAAAGTATTACAATATAATTTCAGTATAAGAGAAATTTACAATTGTATCACTTCTAAATATAAGCCTTTACAGATAGCCATAAGACCACCAAGTTTTTTGCCATATATTACCATTCAAAAATTATTATGTAAATTTCATTTTTCCCAGATGATGAACCTAATAGGCCAAGTACCATATTATACTAATTTTCCTTCTAACTGCCATGTACTACAAAGTTAAAAATTAGTACAGAACAAATAGCACATCTGCGGTACTGTCAGTATAACTCAATTTAGTTGATGGCTGACATTAGTTTCTATTTCTCTCTATTTGATATATTATCGAATATATACAACAAAACAACAAGGCTATTTACATGAAGTATTCTCTATGTCAGATTTAATGCTCAAAGGCAATTGCCTACAAAGTTAGAAAATATTTTGGATTATAAAATTAATAGATTAACAGATTAACTGGACATTATTAAATTATCAGTCTAGGAAGTAACAGTATAGGATGCTTTGGGATATTTAGCTACACTACTAATATTTATACCATTCATGTAAACAATGTGGAAATAATTATGATGCAATATATGTGTTTATTTGTTGCTCTCATACTATGCATTGTTTAATATTCTATTAATTTAACTGAGATAGAAATTTTAAAAAAGAAGTTTCTCTAGTTTATTGGTTTTATTTCTCCCTAAATCTAAGCAGGATAATAATTAAAATAAATTAATTGAAATTTTAATTATGATGTTGGATTTACATAATGAGTACAAAAGAAAACTGAAGTTCAAACAGGTTAATCCTGTGTATCTTATTCTTGTAATTAAGTCATTTCATTACTGAATGTACACACTGGGTTGGTTAACGATGCTAATCTGTTTGTGTTGCTTCTAAGCATAAGGCAGATAGTTTAATAGAGAAACCAGAAAAGACACTGTGGAAAATTCCAACACAAAGTTCAAAACTTGAAACAGTTAACTAAAATTTATATTAATGTTTCTTGCCCTCATAGTATCACTTCTTGCCAATATTCGTTATGAAGTACTAATTTATTTAAAAATATTTTATGGAAATAAACAAACCTTGTTACATATATAAACATCACTGAATCTCCTCCCTGATTGTACTTCCCATGCTTCCCCCTCAGCCATGAACACACTGACCCATTCATATGGTAGACACTCTCAAAGTATTTTAGGTTTTTGTTGGGGTGAAAAAACAATGACTTATATTCTGTAATCTAAGTATTATCGGCAGTTCCAGGAGTCCCATTTTTGAGTTTTCTTATATCTGTACACTTTTCAATCACTATTGCTTCCTTCTGGCACCGTAGAATGTGAGGCGGTTGCAGCAGCTAAAGAATGAAATGGTATAAATACAACTTTCTTAAATCCTTTGAGTAGAAAAAGGAAGAAAAACCCGGTCATATAACTTTATAGCTTTGCCCTTTATGGTTTTCCTTTAGATTATTTGTTAAAAGGAAATTATTAAATTTTCATGTGCTCTACAGAGCCTTGCCTTGGTTTATAAAATGAAAGGAAAAGGAAATATTATTAATCGCTTTATTGCCAAAGGATAGTCATTACCTGTCCGCATGCTTTGGAAGAATTCTTAGTCCTTTGGGTTTCAACTCTCTTAGACTATAATGTTTTAGGCTCTGCCTTCACTGAGGCTTCCTAGCCCAAGGTCAAGAGGCCACGGGCTTTATTCTGTCCTTGCAGTCATCCTAGGGAGCGGTGTGCGCGGCTACAGAACATTTGTGTAGCCAGCTTGGCTCAAATCTCTTTCGTCTAAAATATTAAAACTCTCTGATCTGATGGGTTATTTAACTCAGCCAACGTGCCTGGATACCCGCCTCACAAAAATATCAGGTGATTTTTTTAAAAATTGAAAATACCTAATAAAAGTCATTCTACTGTAGAATTTTTTCTGAACCAAGCAGATTATAGGCCAGCAGAGATGTATGAACTGGGTCAGGAATTCAAGTCCTTGGGAGGCCGTGTAAGTTTTTTTTCACATGGAGGCGGATGTGACTTTTAAGCAGCAATCCTGTCTGTATCCCTCTTAGAGCTGCCTGAACAATTTCTTTCACTGGTCACGGCACCTTCCTGAAAGGACTGCCTGCCACCAGGAGTGCGAGAAAGGATGACGCCCGGCCCTGCAAGAATCACAGGAGTGTCGTCCACCAGGACAGACCTTGCAGAGGGTCACAGCAAGGACCGGTGCAAAATCTCATCATAAAACCACAGTTCCCAGAAGACTTGGCTCTATCTCACACCATCATTCACCCTCTTACTTTGTTCCTCATATTCTGACATTAAACAAAAGCAAATCAAGATTATTTCTGCTTGATATAAAGCCACATGTCCCAGTTAAACAATAAATGAATATCACCGAAAATGTTCAGAGTGCTCTCTGAAACTCTGGTGTGCTGGGTTGTAAATGTGTACTACCACGCCCCTCAACTCCTCCACCCCTCACACCCAAAATATATAGTTCTACAAAGATAGTTCCTGGGGATTTTTTTTTATTTTTATTTTTTAGCTCTTTTAGCCTTTTTAAGCAAGTGATCTCTGAGTTTTAAAAATATCAACATCTTTGCAGGGCTCTTCTTCCCTAATAAGGGATAGGTAAAAGAGCATTTTACAATTTCTGTCTTTTAAAGTTAACAGGAAGAAGTACAAGTTTGCAAACCCTTCAAGTTTTTCAAGCCAGAATTACTATCACCTTGAATGGATTGCCTGATTTGACTAATTTGCTGTTAACTGCATTCCAATAAAACAAGGATGCTAGTTTAGAGCTCTGAAAGCTACGTTATTTCAACAAAAAAGGCACTAATGTTAAAACTATCATAGCAAAACAAGATTGAAGCACACAGCACCAAACCAAAAAAACCAAACCCACTGCCATCAAGTAACTCTATACAACAGAGTAGAACTACCCTATAGTGTTTCCAAGGCTGTATATCTTAATAAAGCAGACTGCCACAACTTTCAACCACGGAGTGGCTGGTGGATTCGAACCACTGACCTTTTGGTTAGCAGCTCAGTGCTTAAGCACTGTGCCACCAGGGCTCCTTAACACACAGCATAGAACAAATAAACCAAAACAAAATAGTGAGTATTCGAAGTCTTCCCTAGATTATTTTCGAATAAAATATTTATTTTTTAATTCCTGTAATAAATCATATCCTTCTAGTAACAATTTTCTTCAACTAAAATCCATCGCTCTGCAAATACTGCATTGCTTTTCGAGTCCAGTCAGGAAAATGTCTAGCCGTGTAGTAAGCAAACTAGGTGATTTCAAAAATCCTCGGTAAGTTTTCACCTCTGGAAAAAATCCCTGTTGTGCTTTGAAAATTTCTAATTGGTCTATGTTTTAAAAGCACACTGCATGATCATTACAATCATCAATATTTCACACCAATTTGCTTATAAAAATAAAAGCCTGTTTTTGTGACACACCAAACACGTCTTTGATGGTCAAACAACACAGATATAAAACAGGACACCTTTCATTTTGCCATCACGTGAGGTGCATCTAAGCAATAAGAGGAGAGCGAGACTCCGCATTAAGAAGAGGCTTGATAACACACTGCTGATGACTTAGGCAAATCGGATGGTAAATTACCTTTGAGAGGTCCCCAGCCTCCAAATAGAAGCAGATAACAAACACATTCCACGTAACCCAGAGGACTAGCCAGACAGCATACTGTAGAGAAGCAAGAGAGAAATAACACATAATTAATTTTGAATAATAGTTTAAACTTTTGAACACCCAAATCACAAGATTAGTGGGGGGTATTACATATTGTTTCATTCTAGGAAACAGGATTAAATGCATATTCCTTTTCTCGGTTGATTTTTTCTCACTGTAACGGCCTCTTGCAGTATACAGCTCAAACTTGCCTAAAAATAATTTCAAGGTTTTTAGACCAAAGAAACAGCCTGCATTTCTGTTTGAATGGTAAATGTCCTCTAGAAATCCAAACAATAGAAGAAGGAATGGATGCTCCAATAGGCATATCAAACACAGCAAAACCATCCCGATATAGGTTGATGTACAAAATTTTCTCTAAGTAACCTAAGGTCATCTTCATCTCAGTCCTTATGTCTCTGTCTCATCGAATCAGCTCTTAAGTTGATTTTTTTCTCCTTGGTGCCTCGTTTTCATTTCTCTGTTCACCTTACTGTATCCTTTCATGATCTCCCATTACAGAGGCCACTTACTTATTATCGCTAACTTCATTCTGTTGTCTGTTCAGTGTACCCTCTACACTGATGACAAATTATCCTTCCAAGACATAGATCTGATCATTCAATCAACTAAAATTTATTAAGCATCTGGAAGGCAACATGCTAGGAGACACTGAGGATACAAAGAACGGTGAGAAATTTTGCCAGATGCCAAGTGATGGAAATAGACAAGAAGGAGATGATTATTATACAGGAATTATGGATATATATGGTCTAAGCACAAGCAAAGAAGACAAAAGGAGGCATTGCCAATCCTGAGAAAAGTGGTCCAGAAGAGGTGAAACAAGGTGCCTTAAAGGATTTAACCAGATAATAGTGCGGGTATTTGGAGAGGCTACGGTGGAAGGGCACTGTAAATAAAGGAAACAGCAGATTTAAATTTTAAAAAAATGGGAAAAAAGGATACTATGTCACTTCCCTACTAAATAAACACCAATGGTTCCCATCCTTTACATGGTGCATTCTAAATTCTTTATTTTATGATTCAAGGGGCTCCATAATCTTCTACCATGTTATCTTTTCACCCACGTATTTCAGTCGATCTCTCCAGTCATCCTGAATTCCAGACACAGCAAATTACTTGCTATTCCATGTACATGGAAAGCCGTGTTCCACCTCTGTACACAGTTCAGATATTCACCAGTTCACCTCTGAGTGCTACCCAATCAGAATTGGCTGAGTCCTACTTACTGTTCTAGTAAGACTTTGCTCATCTTAATTTCATTTCCAAATGTCTTCTATCTAATTATTTGCATATTTTCTCTAATGTACAATGATAAGCTCCTTAAGAAAAGGGACTGTTTTTTTTTAAAGTTTTTTTTATTGTACTTCAGGTGAAGGTTTACAGAACAAATAGATTCGCATGAAACAGTAGTACACATATATTGTTTTGTGACATGGGTTAACAACCCCACGACAGGTCAACCCTCTCCCTTCTCGACCTTTTTTTTTTTTTTTTTTTGGGTGAAAATACACATAGCCAAAGATACACCATTTCAAAAATTTCTACATGCACAGTTCAGTGACATCGACTACACTGTTCTAATTGTGCTGCTATTCTCACTTTAGACAAAGGTTTACAGAACAAAATAGTTTCTCATTAAACAGTTAGTACACATGTTGCCCTATGACAATGGTTAACAACCTCACAATACATCAACACTATCCTTACTCAACCTTGGGTTCCCTATCATCAGCTTTCCTGTCCCCTTCTGCCTTCTAGTCCTTGTCCCTGGACTGCTGTGCCTCATTAGTCCCATTTTGTCTTATGCGGCTTTCCACTCCCCGGCTGAATGGTGAACCTTGGAAGTGACTTCACCACTGAGCTAAAAGGGTGTCTGGGGGCCATGCTCTCCGGATTTCTCCAGTCTCCTTTAGGCCAGTAAATCTGGTCTTTTTTTGTGAGTTAGAATTTTGTTCTACATCCTTCTCCAGCTCTGTCCAGGACCCTCTGTTGTGATCCCAGCCAGAGCATTCAGTAGTGGTAGCCAGGCACCATCTAGCTGTACTGGACTCAGTCTGGTGGAGGCCTTGGTAGCTGTGGTCCATTAGTCCTTCAGACTAATCTTTTCCTTGTATCCTGTTCTTTTCACTCTCCCTTGCTCCCAAAGGGATGAGACCAGGGGAGTATTTCAGATGGCTGCTCACAGGCTTTTAAGACCCCAGATGCTACTCACCAAGGTAGAATGTAGAACATTGTCTTTATAAACTGTGTTATGCCAGTTGAGCTAGATGTTCCCTGAGACCATGGTCCTCACAGCCCTCCGCCCCGCAATTCCGTCCCTCAGAGAGTTTGGAAGTGTCTATGGAGCTTCCATGACCTTTCCTTGTACAAGTTGTGCTGGCTTCCCCAGTATTGTGTACTGTCTCAGCCTTCACCCAAGTTACCACTTATCTATTGCCTATTTAGTATTTCTCCCCCACCCCTCCAATCCCTGGTAACCAACAAAGATTGTTACTTTTGATGTGTGAACTTTTTCATGGGTTTTTACAATAGACGTCTCATACAATATTCGTCCTTTTGTGATTGACTTATTTCACTGAGCATAATGTCCTCCAGTTTCAAAAAAGGGACTATTTTTTATTCATGTTTTTATCCTTTACAGTTCCTAACTTAGTACTTTGCACAAAGTAGGTATACAAAAACTATTTTATGTATCAATGAATGATTGAGTAGCAATGTGAAGAAAATTTTATTTTATTTTTTTCACATGTAAAATCCATCCTCCCTCCCAGACCTGATTTTTAATATAAGACTATTAAGAATACCATTATCAGTAAAGGAGTCCAATAGTAACACAAATGTTAAGTGCTTGACTACTAATCTAAAGGTTGGTGGCTTGAACCGACCTAGAGGCTCCTAGGAAGAAAGGCTGGGCAATCCGCTTCCAAAAGCTCATAACCTTGAAAACCCTATGGAGTGCAGTTCCACTCTGCAAACATAGGGTAACCATGAGTCAAAACTGACTAGACAGCAGCTTTTTAATTTTTTTTTTTGGTATTATTAATCAAGGTCCCTGGGTGATGGAAACGTTTTGTGCTCAACTGCTAACCTAAAGGTTAGTGGTTTGAACTTATCCAGAAATGCCATGGAAGAAAGACCTGGAGATCCGATTCCATTAAAGATTACAGCCAAGAAAACCCTATGGAGCAGTTCTACCCTGCAACACATGGGGTTACCATGAGTCTAAATAGACTCAATGGTAATGTGTGTGTGTGTGTGTGTGTGTGTGTGTGTGTGTGTGTGTGTGTGTGTGTTTTGTATAATCAGTCAGGTTGTATGAGGAGCAAGAGCCCTATGTGATGAGCCTATGTAATCATAAATGATGACTCAGTTGTTTTCTGAGAGTGGTGGGTTCAGCTAACTGCTGAATACGTGTATTGCTCAATGGAGTATAAAGCGAAGGCAAAAATTAAATGGTGCAAGACAAAATAAGAGATTTGAGAGGCTGTATAGTGTGAGGGGTGGGGATTGGAGATAGGGTCAGGAAGCTGAGCAAGCTTTGGCAAGAGAGGAACTTCTATAGAAGAGAGATTTAATGAGACAATTTAAGTTTTGCTCAGTATAGTGAAATATAAATTGACAATGTTTTAAAAAATACTAAAGTCTACATTTTTTGACTGTTTTGCAGACTTGTATTTTAGTTTTAGAAATATAATGAAGTACTGAATCCTACTTTACAGGTAACAGCGTGAGAACAAAACATGCCTATAAGTTCCAGTTGCTTGGTTCAAGTGAATATAATAAGAAGGAATGACTGATGGAAGTGTTTTATCATATCCTTTGTTCATAGTGACACACATTCCCCACTTAATAATGCAGAGTAAAGTACACATTAGTCACTAAAGGCCAAAGTAGTTAGATAGGTATAATATAGGTAAGAGCTATTGAAAGACACTGCATTACATATACCAAATATTACTGAAAGTTTGTCATAGGCAGGCATGCTTCCTGATCTGGCATTAAATACTGGCAATGCTGTAACTTTTCTATATCACAGCTGAAATTATATTTTCAATTCATTAAATGCTGAAAATTTTATGTGCATCCACAAAGTATATATAATAATGTTGTTGTTGGATGCCTTTGAGTCAATTTCAACTCACAGCAACCTTTTGGGACAGAGTAGAACTGCCGCATAGGGTTTTCTAGGCTGTAATCTTTCTGGGAGCAGATGACCAGATCTTTCTCCTGCAGAGCCGCTGAGTGGGTTTGAACTGTCAACTTTCCATTAGCAGGCAAGTGCTTAAACATTGTGTCACCAGGCTTACTTACACATGATATTGTCATACTTTAATACTATAAGAATTTGGAATCTTCATCCAGATTAATTTAGACTTCACTAATAGTTGTTGTAGGTGACATAGAGTTGGTTCTGACTCATAGCGCCCCGTGTACAACAGAACGAAATGCTGCCCAGTCCTATGCATCTTCATAATCATTGCTATGTCACTAATAGCTACTTACTTATATTTATGTGTATGTGTAAATGTAAGTTATACTTAGCTCAATTAAAAACAATCAAGCTGAAAAATTTATGTATTAGTCATCAAAATTAATAATTTTCTGAAAGAAAAGATAAGTAATGGGTCACATGCAAATGTATGGCATGTAAAGTATAAGAACTTGGGACCTAAAGTCCTGCTCTGTTCCCTAGGAGCTCTGTGACTATGTTCAAGTCACTCTGCCTCACTACACTTTAGTTTCCTAAACTATAAAATAGGCATAATAATACTAGCCTACTCACATGATTTATATGATGATTGAAGGATAGAATGTTTGAAAGTGTCCAACACTTGAGCTCTCACTACCTGCTGCAGTTTTATTAAAATGGTCATGCTGTATCGCAGCATTCCTTGTTCAAATAATACAACAATAATTCCAAAATTTGTATCTCCTCAGGATAGTAAAAAAAAATGCTTTCCACATTTACTTATGTAAAATATTCTTCCACC